CTGAGGCGCTGAACAGAGAAAACAATCCATCAAGTAAATAAAATTGGTTGCCAAATCGCGGATCCACGGGCAGTGAACCTGGTCTTGCATGACAAACAGACCTCTCAGCACAAGGTCGTTTCGAACGAAACCACCCACCAATGTCACCTTTTCCCCTGAGGGTGTGTCATCACAATATCCGGGTCATTTAAAACACGACAGACGGAAATGCGAAGTCGACAGCGGGATAAGACGGTCCTCATCCTGCCTAAATAGAGTATAAAATGTCTAAGGTTTTTATGGCTCTGAACTTTGGAAAGGTCAGTGCTCTCGGCTTAAAAAATATTGTAAGATGATGCAAAAAATATTCAGAAGGTTGCCAGCTCTTTTTAAACAAATGTGAATGAGCACGATTTCTACTGAGCTTAATGCGCTCTCGGTATTGAATTATTGGCTCTTCAGATGTGCTATCTACATTTGCTGCACACATGTATGCAGCCTGCCGTAAAACCCTTAGCCCTGCCGTTGGCAGGGGCGTAAAAATGTACATGTAAATACAGAATATGACGTCACCACGCGAGAAGGCTGCGCCAGCTTCAGAGGCCGGTCTGCAGCCAGGGGAATGCATCGCCCGCCCATCCGCCGGCGGCAAAAAGTGTGGCGGTGGGGTGGTGGTGTTCACGGTCAATGCCAGACATGTACCACATGCGTGATATACATCCCCAAGACTGGCCAGAAGTGCACGCTTCGGTGCGTCACGAGCTTCTTGGAGAGCTGCGGGTGAATAACACACTGGCCCACGAGGCCGCTGCCGCTACTAGGTACTGGAAACAGGCGACAGTCGACCGGTCCAGTGTTCGGTCGAACGTGCTGCACCGTTTGTGGCTTTCCGACCCGAAAAGGTGTCAGTTTTGTGCGGGGTAACCCTGATGGTGGTTCCTCAGCCCTGATACTTATATAGGACACCCCAAACTCTAAGTCAGGCCAAACAACCAGGTCATGAGTGCTGAAAAAACTAACCGAAAGAGGTTTAAATCCCGTTGCTCTCTGCTGGATGTGGCTCAGTTTAAGTGTATATACTGGTATGGTATGTATATACTGGTGTGGTGTATACACTGGTATGGTATGTATATACTTGTGTGGTGTATATACTGGTATGGTATGTATATACCTGTGTGGTGTATATACTGGTATGGTATGTATATACTTGTGTGGTGTATATACTGGTATGGTATGTATATACTTGTGTGGTGTATATACTGGTATGGTATGTATATACTTGTGTGGTGTATATACTGGTATGGTATGTATATACTTGTGTGGTGTATATACTGGTATGGTATGTATATACTTGTGTGGTGTATATACTGGTATGGTATGTATATACTTGTGTGGTGTATATACTGGTATGGTATGTATATACTTGTGTGGTGTATATACTGGTATAGATATCATGACAATAACTCTTCAGAGTTCTAAGCTATGGCAAAGTGATAGCACTGGACAGTTTTGAGGCCTGCAACGCCTCGCTTAGCAGGCGATGCACTTTTTCTGATCGAGGGACGATTAACGTATGCTGCGCTGGAAGTTTCAGTACGTGGTGTGTATTGAAATACTCCACATGAGTTCTGATATCAGTTGGCTTAGTGCAGTCGAATAGTACCATTGGCCTAATGTGATCGCAAAATATCCGTTCCCAGAGAAAGGGCTTAGAACGCGTATTTGATCCTAAATGTCTGGCATGTGCCATTATCTCAAGGCCGTAGCACGTGACGTCACACGGTCCGGCGGAGACCGTGCCACAAGCAGAGCGGCACCGCGCGGCAGCATGGCCGTGAAGAAAAGACAGCTTCTTCGGTTGCGCCGCTGGATCACCAAACCACGCATCGCGGAGAGGCTCCTCATGCACATTAATTCATGTCGTCTGGCAAGTGCGTGATCTATGGCTATTCTTAGCCTTAAGACGAGCATATATAACACGACAGGCTCAACTAGTGACATTGCTAGTGCCGTGGCTATTGCTCACTGGCGCCAAAAGCACACAGTTGCGTGGTAAAAGCATGAGCATGTTAAAATCAACAAAACTTCCGCTTATTTAGCCGATGCATCAGCAATCTCTCATAACACCCTCCCGGATCTCGGTCAACTCCCAGGCGCTGGCAGCCAAAGACAGATCGTGGAAAGCAGTCGCGACGGGCGCCTGGTTTTCCGCGGATGGTGATTGCGGAATCACGAGCCGCTCACCCCTTCCCACCGCGTCGCATGTTAAGTGGTGGCGCCGTGCCGTCGGGCGCCATCTATTTCGGTCGATCCGTGTTTGCGCCAGTCAGCCGCGGGATTCCCGGCGGCTGGGGCAGATCGCCGGCTGCCTTCCTCGCCGGCCTCAGCTGCTGCTGCGGCCGCACCCAGCTCAGGCTCACCGTTGACGCTCACGGGCTGCTGGCGATGCAGGCGACTCCACTGAACTCCCCCCGGGGCCGCCACCGTGGTCCAGCGGCTGGGGCGGCGTTTGTATTCTTTGGGACTGTATGTGACCTATGGCGCTGGGCCGGCATCAGCCGTGGCTGGTTGGTGGATAGCATACCGTCTTTACGCGACAATGACCAGTGCACTCGTCAAGGGAGGCAAAACGAGCAGCGCGATGCATTCGGGATAACATGTGTACGCATTCCTGGTGAGTGAAGGGTAAACTGGCTCGCTTCCATCCCGAGCTCCGAAATCTTCGACCTGACATTGGCGCCAGACTGGTTTTAGGGAGCTGTGCTGATCTGGGGAAGTTCTGATCATTGCATAATTGATGAGGGTGGGAAAGCCACGAGCCATCTTCGGCGAATTGTTCCGGCTCCAGAGGCGTTTTCGCGGAAGATCAGTATTCCTGGCCGTTGCCGAAACGTGCTCGCCTCAAATATCCATGGACAGGTGAGGTCGCTTGCCAGCTCTTGCGGCATAACTCGTGACAGGGCTCTCGCCATGTTACAGAATATCTCGTAGATCGTTGTGTAGCGCTTTTGGATCTGGGTATTGGGTAATGGCGACTCAAGCACGCAACATGTTAACGAGAGGCAAAGAGGTCCTCCGGTGCTTGCTGGCTATGTTCTTCTGCTCTCGATTTTTACTCCTTCTTTACTGACCGTTGCGCCTTATTCAGTTTCCGGTCCTAGCCTGTTTTCGCCTGCGACTCAGGCGTGTTTCGTGGGCGTTTCGTAGGCTTTTTCCGGTGCGAAGTACGGATTTCCATCCTGCAATGATGATAATGGCTTCGGCAGCGCGGACTTCCGTCGTACAATGGTGATGATGGCCTCAACGGCCCAAATTCCATCGTACTATAGTGATGATGGCCTCAACGGCCCAATTTCCTTCGTACGATGGTGATGATGGCCTCAACGGCCCCAATTCCATCGTACAATGATGATGATGGTCTCAACGGCCCAAAGTCCATGGTACAGTAGTGATGATGGCATCAACGGCCCAAATTCCATCGTACAATGGCGACCAGGACTTCATGAAAACTGATAGACCTTCGCTGAATATGCTGTTCCCCACCGTAATCGACCGTAATCCTGTCACAAACCACTAGGAAAAGGTTGTGAATTATGAAATGTCATCTTAAGAAACGTCAGGACAGGTGGTCGCTCGTCGAACACCGTTTCCGAAGCTATGCGACCAGTTTTAACGGGCTGGACACTTCCATTGCCATTACACGGTTTGTAGACTTGTCAGGCATTTTGCTTTGCTTGTGACTCTTTGGTCGGACGAAATATGTCTGCTTATTGTTAAAAATGGCTATGACGAGGTCTTTTAATGGCCTTTTCAGTTTTCGTCCGATTGACCGATAAGATCCTGAGATGACAGTGGGTCGAAAGCAGACCCGTGGTTGGCCAAGTGCACAAGACGTCGTTGGGCTAGTGCAAACCGTCAGTGCTATGCAATCATCGAGTTTTCAACAACCAGTTCGGTGTGCATCAGCAACAAGGGGACAACAACATACCCGGGCTACCATCATTCATCCAGAAGTCATCAATGCCCACTGAGAAGGAGAGCGTCAGCCGTCAAATCTTGTCAGAGCCACATAACGCATGTCAGAGCGCAAGGTATAGTCGACATTCCGTGAGAAATTGTACACTTTCTGCACGCACTGGTGTTGGCCAATACGCCGCAATCACAATGCCTACTATTGCAAGCTTGCAAGTTTTTAAGCAGCGTTTCGATTGCGCATTTTGTGGGTACGTTATATTCAATTCAATGCTGCTTTTGTCGAGCTGGATAGACCTCCAGGAGCAATAAATGAAGCCACATCACCGTAATCAGACTTGCCCCCTATGGATCCACTATCGATGGCTTATAATTATTTTGAGCCGTTGGAATTCGTTAAACGTTTGGGAAAGACACAAACTGTATTGACGCAGACTCTATGTCATTAATCGATGATGAAGACGTAAATGATGCCTGGACGTTGGCAGTTCTGCACGATAAATGATCCGCATAACCAACTTGTTTATTCCTCTCAAAGAAGCTCCAACTGAGTATGAAAATCCTTGGAGTTAGCTGTCGTCGAAAATGCTATTTTAGGATTTCGCCGACCATTCCATAGCTTTTTAAGTACAGTTGAAATGACACTGTGGACTCCGAACACCATGGGAAACGTAGATCAAGACATTGTTTGTTTAATTACTTCCGAATAAACTTTGCCTGCAAAATATGTAAACATATGCCACACTTTGCCATTTATTGTAGCACCAGTACAAAATACTCAGAAATAATCTTATAATTACATGAGAATGAACGGTTCAGGTAGAAATGCAAGGTGGCAAATCGAATGCGCGAAAGTACACTATGTACGCTGACGTCCACACTCGTAACACCAATGTCCCGTGAACAAACACCGACGCGACCGTTCGGCTTCACATCACTACTCAAAGTCGTTGGGTGATGCTGGCTGGGCCGGCCGCGGGCGCGTGCGGGGTGAAAGCCCGCGACCGGCGACAATGTCTGGATCACAACGCGCCCGCGCGCGCGACGTCTCACACGGACACCTTCTTCACCGTTTTCTTCAGCGTGTCCAGCTTCTCGGAGAGCGAGGCCTTGCTGAGGTCGGGCACGGACGTCTTCAGCGGGGAGGTGGTGAACTTGTTGGGCGCGGGCGTGGGCGGCCGCGAGCCGCCCGAGATGAAGTTGCCCAGCTTGCGGCCCACGTCGAAGACTGAGAACTTGCGCGCGGGCGCGCCCGGCTGCGGTGTGTGGAGGCCGGAGCCTGCCGAGCCGGCCGACGAGGCCGACGAGGTGGCGCCGGAGCAGACGCTCTCGCCGTCGCTGGTGCGAGCCTCGCTGTCCCGCGCCGCCGCAGCCGTCACCGCCGTCGCCGGGCGCAGCTCCACCGGCGACACGATGTCCACCAGCTGGGTCTCGCCGTGGGTGGGCAGCTGGAGGCGGCCGCGCGGCCGGCGCCGGCGCAGGCTGCCGACGCCCGCCTCGGCGCCCGCCGCCGGCGCCTGCGCCTGGCCGCGGCCGGCGCGTGGCAGGCTGGAGAAGGCGCTTCGCAGCGCATCCATGCCCGAGCGGCGCCGCTTCAGCGCCAGACACTGCCGGATCACGGTGTGGAAGAGCGCGCTGATCTCCTCGGACGAATCAGAGGCGCTCACCTCCTCGCGCTGGCAGCCCAGCCGGAGCGCCGTCTCCAGGGCTAGCGTCGAGTCCACCTGCGGCAGAAGCGTCCACCGTCAGGCCGTGGCACGGCCGGCTACGCCAGACGCCTGCGTAAACAGGGCTGTGATGGGGAAGCTTCAGGCTGAGGTGTAGTGCCTAGCACTATTTACCAGCCTTGTTTAGTTTACGAAGCCTACGTGCAAAGTTTGAATCTGAAGAAATATGATGTTGGGATACTCCGGGCAATATTTGCCTATCATACGCTGAGATGAATGAAAGCTGATGCGATGCCTAAATCACGGTTTTCCTCGGATCTCGTTGAAGTTATTATCAACGTTGTAATCAGTCAGATCTTGAGAAAGTCAGTGTCGAAACAGTTTCGCTCACGTCAAGCGAAACTGTTTCGTGAAGCGGCACCAAGGTCAGCAAGCTATCGGGGCTGCAACAAATAACGACCAGACTTAAAACCATGAATTAAAAAAAAATATGCATACGCAAGTAATGCGAGAACAGCGGATTCGAGCACAAGTCTGTATTGACCGCTGCATTAGTTTCTCGTTGATGAGCGGGCATTCCAGTGATGGAAAACCCGGGACTCCAGAGTCCAGCGACCCGCCAAGCAGCCATGCAATGCGGCACAGCATCTTCCCCAGTCCGCGGGCGTCATTCCTCCCCGACGCCGCTGTCCCACGGCTGCCACCGCTGCGGCGGGATGACGTCACAGCCCCGACACGAGCCGCTGCCGTGTCGACCCCGCGCGCTGACCTTGGTCAGGTGGATGAGGTCGGTTTTGTTGCCGACTAGGATGGTGGGCGCGGTCGGCTCGCCGGTGTCCCCGCTGGCAGGCCGCTGCGGCGTGGCCGCCCTCTTGCGGCGGCCGGCCGGGCTCTTGGAGCCGTCGCGGACCGGGGCCGTGCGTAGGCCGGCGCCCGTCCGGCGAAGCTCCTCCAGCAGGTGGCGCGCGTGCTCGAACGAGTCGGGCTCGGTCACCGCGTACACGAGCAGGAAGCCCTCGGCCCAGCTGCGGATGTTGTTGTGCACCAGTGCGCCGCTCTGCAATGGCAGAAAGCTGGGTGACGTCACAGCGCAAAGGTCACCGGGTCGTGTCGCACCGAATCCCACGGTCTCCTGTAATGCACTGCTGTAGATGGGGAAAACCTGTCTCACGCGTGATGTCACGGTACGCACACTGCATAAATCAGATCATAGCGGTAAAGTGTTTCGTGCGGCTGGCACTTTCACCGCTTTGACGCGGAAACGAAAACAAAATGCTGTGCCAGCGAGCAGCGCCAAAAGTGCTAGGATGTGAACCCTAGCCACGGGTCCCAGCATATGCGTCACTAATTTAGTGGCACTTAAGCATCAAGGGTCGTGACGAGAGGCGATCCGGACCTTCGGAGAGCCCACGGTGCCGGAATCTGGCACAGTTCTGTGAAGCGGCTCCGCGCCCGGCGCCAGCGCGACCGCTCGCTGCCTCGAGTCCGCGGTCTGTGGGGCGTGCCGTTGCCCGGGCCGCGTGGCGCCGCCACGGGGCATCGGCCAAACGGGGCCGGGCGGAGTCGTCGCCCCGTCTGGCGCGCTCGTCAGTGTCGTCCCGGTGACCCGGCGGGCCCCGGCGCCGGTGACGGGGCGGGAGCTGGGGCCGACGCCGACGCCGGCCGGAGCTGGCAGCCGCCCGGACAGCGGCCGTCAGCGCGGCGCGCTGGAAAACAGCTCGGCCCGGCGCCACCAGCCGCCGACGGCGCCGCCAACACGGTCCGCTGCACCGACTCGGCGCCCCGTGTTTGGGTGCCTGTTCCGATGGAAACGAACCAAGGACTCCCCGGGGCCGACTCAGAGGCGTTTCCCGCGCGCAGTTTCTGACTTCAGTGTCATATCCCTCATGGTCTTGTGGCTGGCATAACTAGCGAGAGCTACCCGGAAGGCGTCATATCCTAGGGTAGCAGATGCTGGTGCAGCGTTAGGCAACAATCATGCCAGTGCGCTTATAGCCTACTAACATAACACCACTGTTGCAGTAAATTGTCTCTATGTGACTCAGGCGTCCACCCGGTGCCCCACATTGTCGAGCGCATGTGTTCTGGCAGGGCGCACCAGCTGCCCGCCGCTCGAGCGGAACAGTCTGACCTCTCACCGCGCTGGCCCCCTGCCGCGACTGCCAGGTGGCTGCTATCAGATCTGGCCGTGTCATTTGGACCCGTTTGTGCCGTGGCAACTCACGCGTTATGCTGGATAATATTTGTGAGACTTCTCACCTCCCAGACGGCGCGCCCCAGTTCTGTGTTTTCCCTGGGTGGGTGTCGAAAAAGCCAGAGCAGGCAGATCTACTGAAAAGCGTTTACTCCCGCCGCCAAAATTAGTCCTTATCGCTCACCGCCGGGCCTATACCTGTCGTGTTAGTCCAGTTTCTTGAGTTTACAACAAACACCGCATCCATCAGCAGAACGTAGTGCCGCCATAAATACATAGCCGTCTAGCGCTCAAATAACGCGATAATGAAAATACTGGCAGATGACAAGATAGGATTATTGATGAGTCCGCGAAGAGACGACGGTTGCTCATGAATCGTGACCACAAGCCCATGGCGCAAGATACGGCGTCCCATGCTGCCACCTTTCTGGAAGACCAATGTGGTGGGGCGAAGCCGACTGCCAGTCCACGAAGCGTCAACAGGATGCATTAAATAATCTCTGGGATGGATGCTGGGGCTGGCCGGCCCTCTTCCTAGAACGGTGTCAGGAGCCGACAATCAGCCCGCGTCAGTACCAGTCAGGAGGGAGATGGACCATGACTCACAGGGGCTGCAGCTGCTCACAGACTCAGCGAGGTAGGAGTGGGCGAGGCAAAGGCCGCCGTCGGCAGCTAGGCTGTTGTTCAGCGCAGCAGCACACGGCCCGGGTCATGCATTTGTAATCAGGCTTGATTTTTCCGTGGAAGTTGCAAGCATGGAATCGTCTAAGGGAAATCGTCAGGATCACCGGTTGGCGTGTCGTTTATACTCAGAGCACGGGCTTTTTTACCTAGGATGTTGCGTTCCACGACGTCGCCACCAGGCAACATCACATGGACCGGACGTCTGGGCGACAATACCTGAACACTGGTGTCTCTGCCGGGGCTGCTCCTAAAATGGTGTCCTGACGATTACTGCGTCTGGACTAATGGGTCTGGGAGTGTGTCTAGCCTACGCTGAATGTATTCACCAGGACGCGTGTTCTGGGCTCCCACATTACCTGGACTGAAGTTGAGACATCGATGATGTCCACTTTTATCGTTGATCCATCCAGCTTGATCACCTGATGGTACATCATATCTGCAACGCAGGGAGGCCGCCGTCACATTTGATAATAATTGCATATCCCTTCCCAGAACGAAAGCTATCATCGCTTTTCCTTTGGTAGCTCATGTTAATACTTTGGCTCACAAGTTACGGGAGCAGTTGCCGTTGGCTTGAAACACCTCCATTATCCAAGGCAACCAATGTTCACACAACGCACTACCAGTTTAACGACTAATGCAACAGGGGTGCCATTGCAAGTAGTAAGCAGTTGGCAGCGGGCACAGTGCTATCGAGCCATGCCGCGTTGATTGACATGTGATCGAAGGCCGAGGCGCCCCTGGATCGGCGTCACTGTCTCACCTGTGTTTGACTTGTACTCGCCGATAAACCGATGCGTCAGATAGCGAACCGTGATGGCTGCAAGTTGAAACAACACCGTTACCAAGGCACACCAGCTCCGAGACCGGCACAAGCCAATGCCGCAATACGCTACATGGGTCAAGAGCTCAGAACCCGGTATGAAATATCTATAAATGGTGTCGTATATCCTGACATGGCGAACGCAGGTACAAGTGCCCTTAAAGCCGCCCATTGTAATCTACGACGCCGCTGGGCTCTGTTGTAGGACAAATGCACCTGAATGCAGTGTTACCACATTTGATGTTATGTAAGTGTACCGTTACCGCCATGTACACACCGGTGAAAGACCACACGCGACCAACGACTGTGCTCCCTTAGCCATTCACAAAACAAATTCCGGACCGCTTCCCCTCCCTCCCTCGATTCGGTCCTCACGCGCTCCAGTGAGGCGTGCGCAGGTGCGCCGGCACACCGGTGCACCGGTACGCCAGTACGCCAGTACGCCGGTACGCCGGTACGCCGGTACGCCGGTACGCCGGTACGCCGGTACGCCGGTACGCCGGTACGCCGGTGCACCGGCACGCCAGTGCGCCAGTACGCCGGTACGCCGGTACGCCGGTGCACCGGTACGCCAGTACGCCGGTACGCCGGTACGCCGGTGCACCGGTACGCCGGTACGCCGGTACGCCGGTGCACCGGTACGCCGGTACCCCGGTACGCCGGTGCGTCGGTACGCCGGTACGCCGGTACGCCGGTGCACCGGTACACCGGTACGCCGGTACGCCGGTACGCCGGTACACCGGTACGCCGGTCCGCCGGTCCGCCGACCCCTCACCTGACTTGCCGACGCCCTGCATGCCGAGCACGGCTATGCGCACCGTCTCGTCGGCGGCGCCGAGCTCGGCCAGCGTGTCCAGGTCGGGGCACATGTCCACCGTGGGCGGCGGCCGCATCACGCCGCGCACAGGACTGCCGCCTGAAACACAGCAGGCCGGCCTTCTGAGGGCAGGGTCCGACCGGAGCGGGCTATTTCAGACGGAGGCGGGCTGGGTACGACAGGAGTGGGCCTTCTAAGACGGAGGCGGGCCGGCTCGACGCGAGCGAGCTGTCAGACGGGGGCGGGCAGGGTCCGACAGGAGCGGGATAAGTCAGAAGGAGGCGGGCTGGGTCCGACGGGGGCGGGCCTTCTAAGACGGAGGCGGACTGGCTCGGACGGAGGTGGACCGCAAGAGCGAAGTAAAGAAAGTCTCTCAAAACGAACAATACCACGGTGGACAGAAAAGCATAGATGAATACTCATTAGTAGCAGGACACACAAACCATTTGGTCTTGTTATTGTAACGAGATGCATCAAAATGCATGAGTTTTGAGCTGCAAAGGAACTATATCTGTTTTTCCCGTGTGCATTTAAGTAAACCAAGTACAGTATGGCAGTTTATCATGTTTTTTAAAACGCAACACACGTCACCACGCATGCTTTTATGGAGCGCGCCAAGAACGCAGTAGAACCACCTGGCGCAAGACGGCTATGAAGATTGTTTAAAATTATCCACAACACGTCCAGAAAGGTAGTCCGTATTCATGAGAAATGAATGACAACAACGAAGTAAATCAAATAAATCAAACATGATGAAAACCGATAACAAATGTCATAGTTCACGGCCACGCAAGTAACTGCTAAGTAGATCACTCAGATGCTGTTCATGATTTGTGGGCCGTTCCCGGCGCCACACAGCGTGTACAACTGCCAACAGAGTGGCCGCCATTCCGCCAGTCACGCAGCACCGGCTCCGGGGCCGGGCAAGGTCAGTCCTCGGCAGGCTTTTCCAGCTGGAGCGGCGCGCAGTGCAGTCCTGAGGCGCCCGAGGCGTAGTTGGGCGCGGGGTCACTCAGAATCCACCGGATGCAGCGCGACCGACCGGCGCCTCTGAAGGAGCGGCGCCGGCGCTGAGCTGGCTCCAAGCCATAACCCTTGCCCTTCCCTTCCCTGCCCTGCCCTCCCACGCCACCAGCCGGCACGTCGATCGGACACTCGGATTTTTGGAGCAGGGCGGGCAGCAGGCATTAGTGGCTGGGGCAGAGCCGGCCGGCCGGCACCGGCCTGTAGCGGCTGCCGGGTTATGAAGGGACGCTCGCGCGGGCTCGCGGTCGCGTAACCGGGAAGCACGCAGGAAGCGGCAGCTGCACGATACCTCATAAAACCTCCCACCTGCTCCCTGTCATCTGAACAAGGCCTTCAAAGTAGCTATATATGAAGAAAGCAGCTCCTTGAGTTGTGCTTCTTGGAAATGGTCATCAGAAGGTGGTGGCATTGTCCTGCGTTTTGCTACCATCAAGTTAGATCTATTGAGGGAATTGATGAGCCATTTACTGTGGGGCGTTCGAAGCCCCTTTCAATTTTGGACTAGAACGCCGGATCAAGTGAAGCCAGTAAACTAAAATTTTTGGCAAAATTCAACACATGCTCAACATATCCTGCATACAAAATTAATTCTGAGTCATCCTAGGTACAATCGAAGTACCGTACTAAAATTTATCGAAAGTGGATGATCTGTAGTCTTCAAGTCTGGTGTTAACGCTTACTGCTTTCAGCCGGCAACAGCCTTATCATTTATGGCACGAGTCATGAAACCACAGTTGTGTGTTTAACTGTCATATCATTTAAGCATACCTGCAATGACGTCATAACTTGAGCCTTTTAACAAAATAGGTTTCTGATATTGTTCCATACTTTTGTATGCCGTCTTTAAATCTCATATTGCTCATGAGTGACTTTTCGTGTGAACAGTCAGCAACTTAACGCGTATCATCCTAAAACCCATCTCAAGTTAGATCGCCTCTGAAAAGCATCAGGCAACCAATTACTGAAAGTGTGACTTACTTTTGAATTTTTTAATTTCAATGTAAGAGCCATCTGAGGTCACGCTACGTTATACTCAATGCAGTAACCGTACAGTGCAGACATTACATGGAGGCAGTTTACGAGCCTAAAATAAATTGGTCCCGAGACACATATAATGTTTCGCACTGAGGCCAAAGCTATACTGAACTCTTCGGTCAGCATAATTTTGGGGGTCAGTGCACGCATTTTGAAGGATAACCAGCATATTTGATGGTCAATGGATGACTCTATATCAACCATGCTAAACATTTAAAGGCGAGCCTGGTTAGGTACAACGGCGTTCAAACTTTTAGATGACTTGACCTGAAATTGTAAGCACGTAAGTAATTGACACATAGCGTACACAACTGTTCGTCTTTATAGAAAAGGAATCCTGACTAGATGCCATTCTGAGTGAATGGTCCACCTAATCTCGATCTCTCCGTGCATCGAAATTGATCCGCAATTTTTGGACAACTTTCAATGCAATTATAGTCACGTGGCCTGTGACGTCACCAGTGGCCTGCAGCTTAATAAAATCATGTGTTATTACGTGTTTGAGTAGGAGTTACTTGTTACTAACAATACTTAGTATGTGTTGTCACCCCTATCAGTGGATTGATTCGCGATGTGACTTAAATGAGGCATTAAGAACTGCCTCTGTGCCCCCTCCCCCTCTAAAGAGAAGGGCGGCGAATACCGAAAAGCAGCCCGTTTCTCTTCTCTTGGGTGCAGAAGCATGATGCGCGGATAACGACACGGGGTATCTTAACAAGTACTGGGGAGTGTTATCATAAGTGTCACGGGAACTAGTTTGACATTATAACGAACGATATCATTGCTAAAATGCACAATGTCCGCTCAACCATGGCGGGAATACCTAAGCGGTTTACCATAGGACAGAGTCCTGGCGGCTGCCGCCGGTAGGCTCATCTTCCGGTACAGTGTCCCGCGGCGCCGTGCCCGGACGCCGGCGGGCTGCTGTGCCGATCACGCGTCTCCCGAACGCGGGAGTCGGCCCCGTCAGTCGGGCGTTTTGCGCAGCTCGTCCGCTGTCGGCTCGCTGCTGGCGACCTTCCGCAGCCGGCGCCGCCATCAGTTTGGCAGCTGTCGACACGTACGACGGACAGCGCCCGCCGTCGAGCTGGCAGAGGCGCAGCCGCCGGGGGCCGCTCCACGGCCACGACGCGGCGGCCCGCTGCGCCCGGCCCCAGGAAAGTTCGGGTAGGCCCGTTGCGCCCGGCCCCAGGGAAGTTCGGGTAGGCCCGTTGCGCCCGGCCCCAGGGAAGTTCGGGTAGGCCCGTTGCGCCCGGCCTCAGGGAAGCTCGGCATAGGCCCGCCGCGCCCGGCCCCAGGGAAGCTCAAACCGACCCTGTGTCGGTCTGTGCTCCGGGTCCGTACACGTACGCAGGAAACTCGTAGTCGAGCGACAGGCCGACTCTGGCCTCTGTTTGTGGTATGGTGAAGCGCCGAACATGACTTTCGCTTACGGTTTTATGGGCATGGCGTTGAATAGCTCCTCACGTCTGGTGCTTGCACCCTGAAAGCGTCCAATGAATGCTGGTGTATATTCAATTTGTAAATTTTCCTGACTAGCCGCCACTTCAGTTATAACAGCCACGAATGATTGCACAGCTGCTTTCCAAAATTATGGAAAGTACTTACAATACTTCTGATTCTGGCCACACTCAATAGCAATACTCTAATTGAATTGATGACATCCTCATGTGTCAGCTGCATATTAAAGATGCGTTTCTATATCTGCCTATAGGCTGCACTAGCTAGGCAGGAGAATACAGACCTAGAGCGAGGGAGTGGCGCGAAGAGCGAGCCAAAGCAATGGTTCTCTTCTTGTTTGTGCACATGGCGATAAAACAACCTTCGGTTTACCAGGCACCACTTCTAATCACCTGTTTGTTTTTCTCCCAAGCTACGTACACATACACACACACAGAAGCCAACAGAACCGGGCTTATCCGGCCTCCGTGGCCAGGTGTCTATTAGCACAGAACGTGAGGTCTCAGTGTCAGTGAGCCCACTGAATGGGATGTTGTGTAAATTGTAAACACCCTGAAAAGTATGCCACCCCAGTTTACCGCAGACCTTCTGCATGTTTGTTTGACCTTGCGGGGCTGGAATTTGCGCTCCTTAAAAACGCTGTCTAGCTCTCCATGAAAAAACCGCCCCATCGGCCAACCCGCGAGCAGACTCGGCCTGCGGTGGTATGCTGTGCCGCAGTGCCGCCAAGCCGTGCGGCACATCCGTGCGTGTCCCGATGAGCCCCATCCCGTCCGGCCTCGCTGCCGCGGCGGCTCGGGGCGGGCCGCGTCGGGCGGCGGTCGGGACCGGGAGACGGCACCGGTCCGTCTGCTCCGTCCGTTCCGCTCTGAATCTGCGCGTGTCGCGCGGTGTCGCGCGGCCAGAAATAGCCCGCCGCGCCGGAGGCCGCCGCCGATCGCGGGCATTCTCGAGGCGGACGCCGATGGGCGCCTCGCCGCCGAGGGATGCGGTGGCAGCCGAGAGGAGCAGGCGCAGGCGCTACGGCTGGGTTACAGTGCTCGCCAACATCACAACGCCTTCGAGGCGGCCTGCAGGTTGACCTTCGAGGTCCTGGGGGCCGCCGGAAGCGAACGAGTTCGTCGGCTGCAGTGGTGCCATGCCGTCGCTCCACGTGCCAAGTCCGCCAGGCTGTCGGTCTGGGTGGCGCTGGCGCTAGAGCGTCCTCCGGATGACACAGGCCGCTGACTGAGACGCCGTCAGCGCGCAGCACAGTGACACGCTCTTTTGACTCACTTGTTAGCTGCCTTCTGGCGGGCTGGATAAACACAGCTGCCAGAGGGGGCACCTGCTGGGAGCCCGCGGACGGACGAGACGGGCACACGCGGGCGTCGCGAACAAAGTGCCATTTTCTTCGTGTGGATGCGAGTATAGGGGCAGGTTTGGCCACTGGACATACATCCGTCGCGGTAAGAACAAAGGAGGCCGTGGGTGGCAGCCACGACCGCAGCATTGGAGTATGGCTAGGGGAAAAGCCGAGTGCATGAGGACGGGTCCTTACAGCTGGCACTCGGTGGAAGGTCAGTGTCGGGGTGGTCCTCGTTACCAGGCTGGCAATTAAAGCAGGCTGTTCCGGGTTAGCCGAGCAAGGTCGTCTGGCTGGCGGAGAGGCGGCTGCTGCTTAGCGTCGCTTTGAGCTAGTGTTTGTTCACATAAATCCCCGCAGACCTTGGGGCTCTGCAGCCAAGGTTCCCTCTTATATAATCTCAAAATCCACACTGATAGCACTATGGAAAGTGTGAACATATCGGAACTTTGAGTTAGAGCTGCGGTACGAGGAGTCACAAACCTATAGTTAAAATACAAGAAAGACAATGAAACCCTCATGACATTTGAAATAGCAGTGCGTTGAACGCTTGAGTGCAGTTTTGTAGTCTTCCAGGTTAGGTTAGGCATCGCGCCAGTTGACCCGCAAATTCAGCCTATTTCGTTTAGGCCAGTCCCATACAAAAAGGAGCGAAACGCAAGGCAGCCGTTCTTAGCTCGACCGCCCTTCAGCATCCAATGGGTTTCCATTGTCCTTGCGCTCTGACATCAGCGTCTTGACCTCGTTTACTGACTCACGTACATCATGTCTGCCTGTGCGTGAACTGTAGTGTCTTTCATCTGTTCGTGAGAATGCCTAACAAGGTTCACGAATGGATCACAGCCTGGAGGAACACCAGCGGACCTGCCAATGGGTAGTGAGCGAAGAATTAATCGGCGTTTTCCAGGCCGATATTGCTAGCGCAACCACCCCCTGCCAGGGCACCTCTGGCCCGGTTACCTCTGGTCCGGTCGCCCCAGCCCGGACACCCCTGGCCCGAACACCTCTGGTCCGAACACCTCCGGTCCGGACACCTCCGGGCCGGACACCTCCGGTCCGGACACCTCCGGGCCGGACACCTCCGGTCCGGACACCTCCGGTCCAGACACCTCCGGTCCAGACACCTCTGGGCCGGACACCTCCGGTCCGGACACCTCCGGGCCGGTTACCGCTGGTGCGGTCAGCACGCCGCTGGCCGCCGACATTCCTACGTAGTCAGCAGAGCGGCCGTGTCGGCGGCGCCGTCCGGCACGTCCGGCTGTCAGCGGCGCCGCCTCCGCGCGCCACGACCCCGATCAGGCGCGACCGATGGCGGCGCCGCCGGCGCCGAGATGGCCGGCGCCAGCGGCCCGGCAGCCGGCCAGCGGCCGCCCGGAAACGGTGACGTCACCACCCGCCGAGCTCGGCTGACACGGATACCGTTCAGGTTCGCTGTGCCCGGACCCGCTCCAAGACACCACACCCGGTCGTGCGACTGGTGCGAAATGATTTGTCCCGGTAATTTGATTCTGGCTCTTAGCCACACCACGCGGCATGCGGTGGCAGGCAGTGTGATGTCATGCATCGGCTGTGCCAAGCTGTACGGTCGTGCACCTGACCGATGCACCCTGCCGCGAACCACCCCAGCGCTCTGGAAGGAAGGCGTGCCCTCTGCGTAGCACCTCGCAGAATCTGGAGAACAAGATCATTTCGGCGAAGTGATGCTTGGACTAGCCGCATTAACATCACATTTCCACAAAGTGTTGCGCCTGCCTGCTTTGAATACGTTACAAACTGCCAGGCGCTACCCTGCCAAGCCAGGTGATGGTCAAACGTAACGTGGCCAATTATAAAGAAAAGCTGGAATAGGTCATCTTCATTGTTGGCAACGTTGTGCTCAGGAAACAGGCAACTGGCGGAAACTTTCGTCAGGGTGCGAGGATAAGTGCCAATATTCACCGAATCCTCCGACTTTGGACAGAACCAATACAGAACAACTCAGCATCTAGTCTGAACTTGTTTTAGATCCACGAGGAGGATATTGCTCACTTGCTTCCTTCGCCATGATTACGCCCCTGTCTGGAATCCAGAAAAAGGTGCATGCATGCATAATAAAATGGTTTTAGTTGAGGGGCAGAGTTACGTAGCGCTTGGAAGCAAAACGCTCTTGGGTTCCACTTCTTACCGAAAGACCAATGCTAAATGTCCCTTAAATGTTGGTGGGCCAAATGCAAGGTTTTACGAACCTTGGGGTCGGGTGATGCACCCTGCTCTCCCCGAGTTTCCATGTCGTCAGAGCCGGGCATTTATGTTCTCGAGGGACTTCGTAAAATCAGATGTGTTGAATATACCGAGGTGCAGGTTTCCGAATCAAAAGCTGATGACGAAGCCTATCGTATGGAAATGCTGCTTTAAAATTGTCAACCATATTCCGCAACGGTGGAAGCGGCCGATCGGAACTGGGGAGAAAAGGCAGAGTTGTTCCCATCTCTGGAAATGTCGAACATTAACTTTGTGTTTAATATCAGCGTAGTGAAGTCAAATATTAATAACGAGTCGAGAATAGAGGTGTTTCGAGGGGAATGGAAGGGAGCGAAGACCAGATGACCCTTAAACGTGACATCAATGTTTGTCTTTGTGTTTTGGTGTCCGCTCTGGTAATTCGGGTCTCACATTGAATGGAACGAAGTAAACATGGAGAGCGAGCAAGATGCATACCTCAATAGGGGTAAAAATTTCCAGCAGCGTTCATCTCCCTATTGCCGTGTGTTGCCATGTATGGTAAATATGCTGCGTACCCACACATCCTTAAAACCTTGCCCTTTCATCACATTCCGCTCATTGAAAAGGAATGTGCCGTTTCTAGGATTTCGGGAGAGCATTCACACACAAGGAGTGGTGGTCTACTGAACATCGACACAGCAACCACCCCATAGCCAATAACTCTTACTACAAGAACAGGCAGCCTCGCTTTACACCCAATTCGGGTAACAAATTTGGGAATGTTAACTAAGACTGCTTATTCCCGTTATGCGGTTGGATGGCAAGGTTGCATGTTTCCTGATGAACAAAAGTTTTATCCATTCCCATGGTATGCACCAGAAGAACAGCTAGAACGATACAAATAATCCAAAATGCAGTATGATTCATGTCTACAAGCTTTTGATATTTTGCAACGCAGATTCCAATCAATGGACGTCGAAAAAACCCGTCTCGTTCCAAATTTTCTAAGCATTGAGCGATCCCCCTCCGAAAATATCTAATTTTGATCTGTTGTCAAAAGTCGTTGAAGCATCATCGACATCAGTGATCCTTAAATGTGTGATACCAAATTGTGCTTTTTCGCGCGTGTGATAAAGGGCTTGGTTGACTTCGGCTGACGACTAATTCCAAAGTTGTTCGAGATACCACAGCTCCACCAAACTGCGTGACTCCGCACACATGCGCGGGTGTGGTCGTGGTACCGCAGCCTCTGTGACATCTCGGAGTGATCCTCGCCGGCTGGTGCCCGGTCACCGGAGCCACGGCCGCGGCCGTCCCCACCGAACACCGTCCGGCTGTCTGCGCTCACCTTTCCTGAGGATGCTGTCCTTGCGGAGGACCAGCTCGGCCGGGGCGCCGTGCGCAGCGAGCGGCCCCGCCACCGTCTCCAGCTTCGTCGCCTGACCCAGCTCGGGGCTCCCACTGCTCGCGCACCTGCACGCGAGCTGTGCGCGCCGCGTGGAAGGCGGTCCGCCACAGGTCCGACCACCAACTGGCGGCCAGCGCCGCCGTCCGCCGCTGGCCCCCGAGCTGTGACGTCACCCTGGCAGGGCGGCGGCGGGGGGGGGGGGGGGCGTGAGGGAGGAGCGTTCTGTCCACCGCCGGCGCCGGCGTCGGTCGCCGCGGCTCGGTTAGCTGGGAGGAGATGGCAGTGGGGGCGCGGAGACACCTGCCGCGTGAACTCTGGCGTCATTAACCCCATTCTGAGTGTCGAGTTAGGTTAAGATGCGTGGCACATGGGAGTTATGAATCTTCCAACGTGCTAATGCTCTGTGCCCAGGGAGTCTCGTGCTGCCCCCACGCTTTAAAGCTTTAAGACGGGCGTCCCCATTCCCGCAATGCCACGCTTATGACTGTTCCGGCGCGTCAGGCAAACGTCAAGTCTCCCAATTTGTTTAAAAGAATATTAGGGCAATGTATTGTAGCGCCTTTTTGTATGAGTACCGACATGCTAGCGGCGACGAGAGATTGGTTGCTCGCTATTCATGTTTGAACGCAGGTCATGTAGTGTATCGATGTCCACCACCGCACGCGGCGTCAGCTGAGTAGTGACCCCACATTCTGGCTACTCATGGCGCCACGATAGCTAGGTATTTTGAGAAATCACGTCAACTCAGTTTGTCAGTCTCTGTGCGCATTTGGGTTGCCGCTAACTCATGAGCTGCCACCGTCTTTGTGGACAATGCTGCAATGTCATCAACAAAAATACCCGCATTCTCAAAGAACCCCATCATTGAGCAAATGCATCACCTGGACAAAATACTACTCAAATACCACTCTGGTATTTGAGTAGTATTTTGTATGTATGTATTTTTATTTTATGTATGAATTTTATTTTATGAATTTCGTATATATGTATTTTTATCCGGTATTTGAGTAGTATTGAGTAGTATGGAGTCCATCTGGCCCAGACAAGCAAAACAAAACAAAACAAAAGAAAACAAAACGCTCACTGCAGTCTTTTCAGGGCCCACATTTTCACCAGGGGCGCGGACAGGATTTTCTTAAGCGGGGGGGGGGGGGACGGAACTAACAGAGAAAATTGTTAATGTTTTCTCGGCAACAATCCATGGTGAACAAAAATGAAGAGGGGAAGGGGAACGGGAGAAGGGCAGGTTCCTTGGCCACACCGCTGGTTATGACGTTTTGTTTACATCCTTTCTTCGGCCCTGCTCACGCTCAACACCGTCGACAGCCATAACATGCTGGTACCGCAGCTGTGCCGAGGAATTCGCACTCAAAGAAAGAGGCGGAGAGAGCTGCTTTCCACTACTACATAAAGGTGGGCTGAGAGGAATGTAAACATCCAGAGCCGTGTTCCAAGTACCATCCCTTTGCCCAGATTCCGACCCTCTGACTCAGCATGAGGCTGAAGTAGATGATCACGTAGGTTTGGGACAGTAACAGGGGAGGGAAGGGGAGACGACAAGCTATTTTCATCGTGTTCCGAAACATAACTTGATAAAGGCAAATGCAAGATGCAAAACTCGAAGTGCAATGCAACGTAACGCTATACAAAACGAAATCCGTCATATAATGCATTATGTGGCTGCATCAGTCCCATCATAAGCTGCATGATATGATACAGTGAGACCGGCGATAATTCTTGGCACCTGGTGGTTGGTTTGCCTGTCGCTGTTATCCAACGCATTGTAATCATGAGTTCCCCGATCCTTTTTACGAGCTTGGCATCCTTCCCGTGCATCTCCCTGCCACCTTGCTGTTGGAAGTGGCCACATCCTCTACAGACGCTAGCTAACTGGCTGGTGGTGCCTGCTTTGTAGCAGTGCCATGTTCTCAGAAGACGCGACATTTGATAATGCCAGCGCGGTTGTAGCGACCTGAGTCGTAGAACTTGGCCACCCCGACCTTGGCTAGTGCTAGGCGTATCTTGTTAGGACCCTGGTGACTGGTTGGATGCATTTTTTTACGCCACGTACATGAAAATATAACTTAAACACATTAAACCCCCGTTCTCGGCGTGTACAGGCATGAACATACATGCCTCGCGCAGAGCGTATACAATTTGTGTGGTGTGTGGCCTGTGTTCTAGCACGTCTGACAGAAGGGTGGCGGCTGAGCCGGAGCCGACCGCAGCGGCTGCCGATCAGCGACCGCGGCGGCGAGCGGCTACCACGAGAGCCACACGCGCTCGTCTACGGTCAGGTCACGCCGGACCACCGCAGCGGGTGCCAGCGGTGTCCTGTACCCTCCGGCCATCCGTCTACGGTCAGGTCACGCCGGACCAGCGCAGCGAGTGCCAGCGGTGCCCTGTACCCTCCGGCCATCCGTCTACGGTCAGGTCACGCCGGAGCACCGCAGCGTGTGCCAGCGGTGCCCTGTACCCTCCGGCCATCCGTCTGCGGTCAGGTCACGCCGGAGCACCGCAGCGTGTGCCAGCGGTGCCCTGTACCCTCCGGCCATCCGTCTACGGTCAGGTCACGCCGGACCAGCGCAGCGAGCGCCAGCGGTGCCCTGTACCCTCCGGCCATCCGTCTACGGTCAGGTCAAGCCGGACCAGCGCAGCGGGTGCAGCGGTGCCCTGTACCCTCCGGCCATCCGTCTACGGTCAGGTCACGCCGGAGCACTGCAGCGTGTGCCAGCTGTGCTCCGCGTCCTCCAGTCATCCGGCTGACTTCAGGTCACGCCAGACCACCGCAGCGTGTGCCAGTGGTGCCCCGTGCCCTCCAGCCATCCGTCTGCAGTTGGGTTACACCGGACCACCGCAGCGGGTGCCCGCTGTGCCCAGCGCCCTCCAGCCACCCGGCTGGTCACCCAGCGGCTCGCTGTCGTTCGTACACGACCAGCGTCGGACGACGCAGTGCGGGACCGACACCATCAGCAGCGACGAGATGGCTCACCAGGCACTGCCAACAGACGCCGCTGGGATCAGAAGGACCAAAGCCGGGCGATCATGCCAACTGACTGCTGTCACGGCCCCTGCGGCGATCATCTAGGCACCTCCTGGGACGGCAGCTCTCCACCGAGGCGCTCCCAGGCGAGCAGGCACGCACTGGCCAGTGAGCAGCAGCCGTGGCACCCGCTGTGGCCCTGCCCTTGGCGACTGCAGCTGCAGGCCTGCGTCGGCCCGCCGGGACGACGCCGTGACGCCGCCTCATTCATGGCTGCTCGGCCGGTCACTCGCCGCTCGCCAAGTTTAAATGCGTAACACTGTTATTCTGGACGGATGAAAATAAACACCGCCGACGGGGTTTTGGCCGTGAAACCACAAATGACTTATAGAGGACATCTTCGTGGCTACCTGTAGCGTCACATTTCACAGAGCGCTGTGCTGCGCAAGAGCTGCTCGGGCAAGCAGATGCGACTCGGTTGTCTCATGAGAGGAACTGGGCTTGCTGAAAAATCGTTTTTGCATTCCATTTGTATAAGCATGCCGCAGAAAGAGGGCTGTATTATTGTATATCATGTATATCATGTATTATTCTCGCTTTTGTCAATGAATTTTATTTTCCCACTGCAGCAATTTGTTGCATAGTTTCGGCGTTACCATCAAAAGACTACGGCGGGTAACTACGGTAATGATCATGAGGTAGCAGTGTTCCAATACGACAGTGTTTTAGACCGGCGTTACGTCCCGAGCAAAGCGCAAAGGTCACGGTATTTGAGCTCTGGATTTGTTGAGATTAAAAGGCAGCGTCATGGAACTGAATCTTCTGCCTGTGCATGACGAAATGAATAAAAAAAGCTTTGGACGAGTCCAAGCCCTTTAGGCGTTTTAGGCGACTGGGGAGGCGAGCGGACTTCCAGACAGGAGTGTTACAGATTATCATACGAAAGGCAGCTGATCTCAGTGTGAGGTCGGGGCGGGCTTACCGTCGGCGTCACATCCTCTAGTGCACTTTTGTACAAGCATAACTGTTGAGTTCTTGCTCAGTCGCATTTAATTTCACAAACTCACCACTGCTTTCCAAGCGGCAGTTTATGAAGAAATCCCACCATTTTGAACGTTATGCAGCGGATTTGTCGGTAGACTGTAACGCTGTAGGACGAATGGCACATGACGTAGCCCAGAGTCACAGTGATGCATAGTTTGACTTTACGCGCTTTTCCAACCTGTCCGCACGCTGGCAGACACTGTTCCTGAACCTGGTCCCGTGAGAACTTCGGAGCTGAAACTCTTTGGTCGCTTGGCCGTTCACCTGTCTTTTAAATGACGCATGCCATCAGAAGTAGTCCTAAGGGATGCAAGAAAACAACTGTGTTGAAGCTAGCTGCGAAATGTTCGCACAAAGAACGGCCCATAAGCAGCTGCTGACCAGCAGAGTTCGCCTCAGCATAAAATGGGCGCCTACGATCCGTAGAAATATTCATGCCACACTTCAGGACAATGGTTATCTCACCATTCTATCATTAATGGAAGGGCTGAGGCAGGGTTTCATAATTTTCCCTGCAATGACTTGCAATGTCCCAGTCATTTGTAATGGAATCCCTGCACCAAATAGACTCTATGTGCCAAGTTGTCGAACACAAGATGAATGCCGGAACAGGGGTGGATCCAGGATTTTGTTAAGAGGGTCGCGACGCAACGTTATGGGCCTCTAAAAAAAACTCGTGTTCCTGCCATTTAACTTGAAGATAAATGTATAACACACACACACACACACACACACACACACATATATATATATATATATATATATATATATATATATATATATATATATATACACACACACACATATATATATATATATATATATATATACACACACACACATATATATATATATATATATATATATATATATATATATATAAGTAGTAAACATGGAGCCCACATTACTCTGCGTAGCCATAGCAAGAAAGCTATGCGCGTTAGTATGCATATCCATGGAGCTTCCGCACTTTCTCCAGATCATGATGAATCGTGTAATCACAGGGTAAGTTTTTCGTAAAACGGGCAAAATAAATCAAAGTAACATGCTAAATACCATCAAAATAAACACCAACTTGGT